CAATACAGATGGAGCGGGAGGACATTATCTTAAGTGAGCTAATGCAGGAACAGAAAAGCAAATACTGCATGTTCTCACTTGCAAGTGGGAGCTAAACATTCAGTACACATGGACACAAAGAAAGGAACAATAGACACTGGCGTCTACTTCAGGGTTGAGGGTGGGAATAGGGTGAGAATGGAAAAACTACCCATCAGGTACTATGCTTATTACCTGGGTGAGGAAATAATCTGTACACCAAATCCCCCACGACACACAATTTACCTGTATAATAAACCTGTGCATGTAACCATGAAACTAAATTGAATATTAAAAATAAGTAATTGCTGTAATTCCGAAATATTTGCAAATGCAAACAATAGATGCACAACATCTATTTCTCTATTAATCTCTTTTGAAATAAATTTTGTTGTGTATTTTCAAGGTACACAAAATTATATTATGGGATACATATACAAAGTAAAAAAAAAGTTACTAAAGTGAGGCAAATTAACATACTCATCATCCGAATACTTGCCCATTGTTTTATTTGCTTTTGTAGGCAAAAGCAGTTAAATTCTACTCATTTAGCACGAATCACAAATACATGTCTATTAATTTTATTATAAAAATACAAAGCCAAGAGGGACTAGGCAGAGCCGTGGAACCGCTGCCAGGTCGCTGTCGGTCCACGTAGCGCTGCCAGCGCGCTCAGCGTCCGCCGCCGCCATGGGAGTCAGGTGGAAACCATCTCCCCAGGAGACCGGCGCACCTTCCCGAAGCGTGGCCAGACCTGGGTGTTGCACTACACCGGGATGCTTGAAGATGGAAAGAAATTTGATTACCCCCGGGACAGAAACAAGCCCTTTAAGTTTATGCTAGGCAAGCAGGAGGTGATCCAAGGCTGGGAAGAAGGGGTTGCCCAGATGAGTGTGGGTCAGAAAGCCAAACTGACTGTATCTCCAGATTATACCTATAGTGCCACTGGGCACCGAGGCATCATCCTACCACATGCCACTCTCGTCTTCGATGCGGAGCTTCTAAAACTGGAATGACAGGAATGGCCTCCTCCCTTAGCTCCCTGTTCTTGGATCTGCCATAGAGGGATCTGGTGCCTCCAGACGTGTGCACATGAATCCACATGGAGCTTATCCTGATGTTCCACTCCACTCTGTGTAGACATCTGCCCTGACTGAATGTGTTCTGTCACTCAGCTTAGCTTCTGACACCTTCGTTTCCTTTTCCCCTTTCTCCTCATATGTGTGTTTACCTAAATTATATGCCATAAACCTCAAGTTATTCATTTTATTTTGTTTTCATTTTGGGATGAAGATTCAGTTTCAGTCTTTTGGATATAGGTTTCCAGTTAAGTACATGGTCAGGTATTAACAGCACAAGTGATAGGTTAACGTTAGAATAGGAATTGGTGTTGGGGGCCGGGGGTTGCAAGAATATTTTATTTTCATGTTTTAGATGAAATTTTTATCTATTATATATTAAACATTCTTGCTGCTGCGCTGCAAAGCCATAGCAGATTCGAGGCACTGTTGAGGACTGAATTATTCTCCAAGTTGAGAGATGTCCTTGGGTTAAATTACAAGCCCTACCGAAAACTGAGGTGGGGATGGGGAGAGCCTTTGCCTCCACCATTCCCACCCCACCCTCCCCTTAAACCCTCTGCCTTTGAAAGCAGATCATGTTCACTGCGACGCTGGACAATATAGGCATCTGTCCCTGGGCCAGCAGGGACCTCTTAAGCCTTCCTCGTGGCCTGGCTTATTTTTTTATTTTTATTTTTTTTCATCCTGTGGTTTTTCTAATGGACTTTCAGGAATTTTGTAATCTTATAACTTTCCAAGCTCCACCACTTCCTAAATCTTAAGAACTTTAATTGACAGTTTCAATTGAAGGTGCTGTTTTATAGGCTTAACACCCAGTGAAAGCCCAGCCATCATGACAAATCCTTGAATGTTCTCTTAAGAAAATGATGCTGGTCATCGCAGTTTCAGCATCTCCTGTTTTTTGAGCTTGGCTCCCTCTGCTGATCTCAGAGTTTCCTGGCTTTTCCTCCCTCAGCTCCTTCTCACCCCTTTGCTGTCCTGTGTAGCGATTTGGTGAGAGAAATCATTGCTGCCCCTTCCCCCCAGCACCATATATGAGTCTCAAATTTTATTATTGCAATAAAAGTGCTTTATGCCAGCTTTTCTAAATATATATATATATGTGTGTGTGTGTGTGTGTATATAGCACCAAATAAGAAAAACTACTCATTAAAATAATTTAATATTATAATATGACATATTTCCCCAAGTCAAATTATTAAATGTAAAGCACCAGGACTAGATAAATCATTCTTAAAGAGCATTTTTATAATTTTTATAAATTAAATTTTAAACTTCATTTAATTTCTTGTAGTATTCAACTACGACAACAAATTCACTTGAAATTGGAGAGTAATTGAAACACAATCTATCCAAAAAAAGTCATGTAGTAAAGTCTTGAGAGGACCATTTCCCCAAGAATTCCCATAGTAATTTATTGCTCTTTGAGAGGACTGTGTCATCAACACATTAATTATTGGTACAAACAGACAGCAGTTGTCAAGGGGAGAAATCATTCTGAGAGAAAGTTGTGTAAAGGAATTCTTTCACCAGTGTGGCCCCCTGAAGGATAAATCACTTTTCTATTACAAAACATTCAACTTTAAACCAATAAACACTGTTGTGTTCTGCTCAACAGCTCATAGTATTACACCACATCACACATTTTACAGCTCATAAATGTACACTGAATACAGCTCAAGTTTAGTGATCATAATCTTAACTCTATCTCATTGATATTTTTCTAAGAAATGGACAATGAACAGCAGGAAAAAAATCACAACTTTTATAATAAAATATGGTATGTTTTCAAAAGACTATTAAATATAGTAAGATATAGTTTGTTTTCAAAATATTATGATTTATTGTACTATAAAAACAAGAACAAGGTAGGTCAACTTTGATAAGTGAGTATAGTCTGCTCCTCAGAATTTCACTCTTTTTCTGTAGAAAAGCTCTAAAGTTATCTTTTGTGTGATAATTAGATGAAATGAATATTCCTTTAAAAATAAATTAAAGGAGTTTAGCAGGCTATTCATAATGTAAAGAAATGGTAAATTTTCTCAAGCATGAATTGTTATTTGAGACTATTCCATAAAACTATTAGGTGTTATCATTTTTCACATTCTTCCACATTTAACATGAAAAAGTGATGCAAATATGTGGGCATGATCGGTCAAGTTAAAAATGTAACGGTGCACCAAAAATGAAGAGCCTAAAATTATACTAACTGCACTAAAGATTTCCGTCTCTAACAGAAGCATGACCTTGAACAATTCATGATTTTTCAGTTACCTCATCTATAAAATAAAAGTTTTATATATTCTGTGATTTCCAAGATTAGTCCCAGCCTAAACATTCCATAATTTTAAAAATTATAAGAGACACAATAGTTTGCTGGTGATCCGTAGTCCACGGCAGTTAAGAATAAGCAGTTTTATTGTTAGAGCATTTTCTTATACATTACAAAATTAAACTTCAGACAAAAATTTGGTATCATAGAATATTCTTATTTCGGTATTCATCATTCTGAATCAAACACAGATCCAGTAATAATCAGCATAAAACCACTCATATAGGAACTTGAAGAGCCATCAAGACTTTAAATGCCTTACATACCTTGTCAGTGTAATTTGATCAGAGACTATAGAACTACATTTTTATTTAGAGGCAGGTATTGAGTCTGTCATTGACTTTCCCATATCCAGAGATACAAATATGTTACTCCAAGAAACATAATCAAGTTATATCATATTTAAATGTATGATTTAAGAAAAGAACCTTCTATTCAAGACTATAACTGGTTAATTGATCAAGTGAAAAAGGACATATTATTCTTTATACTCTAACATATTCCTACCTCATTTCACTACTATGCAAATTTTTCATGTACATTTCTAAGCCTGCCCAATTTAATATTCAAGAGAACATAAAGCAAATCTAATAAAGTTTATTTTAAAAACATATACCCATTTTAAACAGCTTTCTTGCAATAGTCGAGCTCAAAAACAAATTCCATGCCCAAAACATTTTATCTCAAAGATAAATTTTATGGTTTGCTGGGCTTTAACAATTTTATCCCTGTTTGAAATAATTATAGACAAAGCATCTAGTTAATTATATTTACTAAAGTTTATCATAGTAGAAGACAATTGGTAAACCAGAGCATTTATTTCTGTAATCGTTACTCTTAGGATAATTACATGGTCCTTGCTTCACATTCACTCTTCAGAAAGTTAATTATCAGCTTGAATCTTTGAGTTTACATTTTAGTTTCCTCCATTCATTTGACCAAAACAAAAAAATCCCTCTTTTTACCCATTGAAATGTATGAATATAATTGATAAAACCATGCCACTGAATGCTATCTTTTATAATCAATGATCTACTAGTGAAAAATTAGTTTAAAGAAAGATGTAACATTAAGAATGATATTGTAATTATTTTATGAATAAACTTTGATTATAGAAGACTATAGGTTATAATCTAAGAGTCTAATAACCTAATTGATTTTCTTAGATATATTAATAATAATTCCCTTCTAATTTTCTAATGTTATATATTTAGTATCATTAACTCTACTCCGTTTTATAATAAGGAGATACATTTTAACATGAATCAAAGACAATCACGTGGGTGTACATATTTGGACAAATTGATATATCATTTATATTTTGAATACATGATTAAAATATCTGATTATGCCTCCTACATTCACAGAACAAAAATGCTGTAGCCTTCAGTTTAAAATTACCCTCATTATTGCACTTTCAAAAGTTTTCCTTCCCCTGTGTCAATATCACGTGCTTGCATATACCTACATTATGAAGCTTCAAATATTTATTTTATAGAAGTCAATAAATAAAATATTTTGTCATTTTTTAAATCAATTCTATGAGAACAAAGTATATATGGTAGTACCTTTGGATACTGCTTGACAGGAATCAGTACTCTTTCTGAGAGCTTTATGTTTTTGTTGCTGATGACATCAAGATACTTCTTTTCTTCGTCTTCCTTTTTTCCATCAGAACCTTGAAATTTTTCAATTTCTGGAAGAAAATCACAAGAAGAAAACAAGTGAAATGAGGGAAAATGTTATAAATATGCTGAAAAATGCTATCATAAATAATATTAATATTACTCCTCTTCTCAGATAAGATTTTGATGAATATCTATAAAAGGCCTGAAACAGCATCTCGCTAACAGTTATGTGAATGCTGCTACTGTATGTAAGAGAAGCTCTGTCAACTCAAACTAAAAAGTGATAATTGAAGATATGACTGTGTCTTCTGTGAAAAAAATTGATGAATTTAATTAATTTTAATATTTTCAAACAAAATTAAAAAGGTTATATATGTCCTTTGACTATTTAAACTATTTTAGCAAACTTAATTTTTTCTAGGAGCAATAAATAGAACAAAATACATTTTAAGGATATGTTTTATTTTTACTCAGAATTATTCCTAAGAAAATAAAAATAATTAAAATGGTAATTATTTAGTTAGCTAAAATAGGTAGTAAAGAGAAATTGCATATTTTACAAGGGGTTATAGAAAAGTCATATAAATGATTAAACCTATAAATGCTAACATTCGTATTCATCAACAAGACATTATCAATATAGGTGTTTAGAAAAACATTAGAATATTACCAAATTTGATATTTTGGAGCACACTTATCCACTCCTTCATTTTTGAATTAATTTATTCCATAAAAAATGTTAAATTTCTACTAGGTACCAGAAATGCAACAGAAAACAATAAAATGTCTGCTTTTATAGACTCTATATTCTAACGTGGAAAATGAACAGCGAGAAAATGAATATATGGGCACACATACAGTTATGGCTGGAGGCAAATAATAAACACATTATGCTGTTATTAATACAAAGGAGAGTCAAGCAGTGGCTATTACTTCAGATTTGAAGGGTGATATTTGATCAAAGCCCTGAATGACAGAGAAGAATAAGCCATGAGAAGACTGAGAAGAGCTTAACAGTCTGATGAAAAACAAGCTTTACTTGCTCTTGGAATAGTAAGAAGCAAGAAATCCTGTGTGGCAGAAGAACAGTGAATGTAGAAAAAAAGGCTTGATAGGTGATTATAGGACAAATCATGTAAGAACTTCTAGGATACATGATGTTTTCTACTTTATATTGTGACTGCAATGGTAAGCCTCTGGACCACTTTGAAGAATAAAGGAAGGCAGTCACATTGTATTTTTATTTTTAAGGATAGCATAGTACGTAATATCCAAAATCAATCACAGCAGAAGGTAAGCAAACAAGGAAACCAACTTACATTTATCTAGTTGAGAAACGAGGCTGACAAGGTAGGAATGAGATTTTAAAAGACTGTGTAGTTACAACTAGAGTCATCTCATGCAATGCACTATGTAAAATAAGTGTTTTGGAGAATTATTAAAAATTCATTTTAAAAATTTCCCTTTTTATATAGTTATTATTATGACCATGACATAATCAGTAAATATTTCTTTTTGTTCTTTGCTGTTGGTCAGCGTACTAAAATACTAACTAAATTAAGATATAAATGTGACAGTGTTTTATTTTTGCTATGGATAGAACAAAACATTCTATTTTTGTTATTTTGGAGTAGAGAAAAGGTGATGATAGTTATTAAGTATGAACATGTTTCATATAAATTTATTTATATTGCATTTTAAAACAATTATCTTGTAAAGGTCTGACTACTTCCAAAGGTAAGGGGAATATATATTTTATCTAATGGTTTTCTTCTTTGTTATTCTAGCTTTAACTAACATTTTTCCCCCAAATGTTTTCAAATGGCTTAAAGAAAACTTCCTAAAACATTCCAATTAGTAACATTTTTGCATACTATTTATTTGGGCTGTATGGAATTTGAAACAATTATTTTGGAGTAATATTACATTACTTACCCAGGTAGTGCCTGAGTGAAATCTACACTGCATAATTTTTACAAAGTCATTTATAATCATCTTATCAGTTATATGGTACAATTTCCCTAAAGACAAGTATCTTGAACTAAACTGAATTTTTTGAAAATAAGTTATATGTCTATAATTTCTACTTAGTATGATAACATCAGATTCCTATGTTCTACATGGAAGTACTAACAAGTCACTTTAACTGACTCTTTAAACTGAAAATCACTTTATTCCAACTTTTCAATCCCTTATATAATTATTACAACCAGAACTATGATAACTGCAAAGAAAATCCATTCATCATGTCCTCTGATAGTAGGAATAAACTTTTGATCACTGCCCTGTGGGTACATGCACCTACATACCATAGCTTGCTGAGGTTAATTGTAATGTAGAACACATTGAAGAAGCTGACTCAATTCCTGATCTATAATACATATGGCTTCTCCCTTGTTACTTTTTCATAAAAATAAATTGAATTTGTCTGACATTATTTGCTATCCACAAAACTACTACCTTAGGCTCTTTTAGACATTTGCAATTTGATCAGGCCAGGATTAATTCTAATAACCTTTCCATCAAGAAACAGAGTTAAGTGAAATAGCATTTCCACTGCTATTTCTATTCAATTCTACAATTTTCTTTTGAATTTTTTTTGGTATTATTTTACCCTCCTAATACTTAAAGGAAGTTATCTTGTCTTCTTTGGCATATCTCCATGACTAATAGCTCAATACTTGCATTTGTCAAATGCATAGTAACAAAATGGTATATGCCAAACTTGCCCGGGTTTAAAACCAAAGAAAGCTTCATCCATGTCTCTGCAAAAGGACATGAACTCATCATTTTTTATGACTGCGTAGTAAACCATCATTCTCAGCAACTAACGTAAGAACATAAAACCAAACACCGCATGTTCCAGAGATCCAGAACAATGTGGGGATGCCCTGTCTTACAACTTCTATTCAACGTACTACTGGAAGACCTAACCAGAGCAATTGAGCAAGGGGAAAAAAAAGGCGTCCAAATAAGAAAATAAAAAATAAAGCTATTTGTTTGAAGTTGACAGGATCTGATATGTAGGAAACCCCTAAAGACTTCACGTAAAAACCATTGGAACTACTAAGTGAATTCAATAAAGTTGCAAAATACAAAATCAACATCCAAAAATCAGCTGCATTTCTATATACTAGCAACAAACTATCCAAAAAAGAAATTAAGAAAACAATCCTATTTATAAGAGTATCAGAAATAATAAAACACTTGGGAATAAACTTAGTTAAGCTGGTTCAAGACCTGTACACTGAAAACCAAAAGCATTGATGAAATAAATCAAAGACAAAAATAAATGAAAAGACACTTTATAGATTGGAAGAATTAATATTGTTAAAATGTCCATAATACCCCAATAACCTAAAGATTCAGTTCAATCTCTGTCAAAATCCCAATGGCATTTTTTATAAAAATAGAAAAAAAAATCTCCAAATTTATATAACATGATAAAAGAACTTCAAATGGCCAAAGTAATTTTGAGAAAATACACAACTGGAGGCATCACACTTCCCAATTTCAAAATACATTATAAAGTCATAGTAATCAAAACAGTATTATACTGGCATAAAAACAGAAATATAGGCTAGTAGAACATAATAGGGAGCCTAGAAATAAATCTATACATGTATGTTCAATTGTTCTTTGACTAAGGTTCCAAGAATGCACAAGGGAGAAAAGAAGTCTCTTCAATAAATAGTGTTGAGAAAACTGGATGTTCACATGCCCAACAATAAAATTGGACCATTCTCTTACACCGCACAAAAAAATCAACTCAAAGTGAATTAAGTGAATTAAAGACTTAAACATAAGACCAGAAATTGTAAAACTCCTAGAAGAAAAAGAGGTAAATGCTTCTTGACATTGGTGTGGGGACTAATTTCTTAGCTATGACCACAAAAGCATAAGCAACAAAAGCGAAAATAGACAAGTGGGATTATATCAACAAAAAGTTTCTAAATAGCAAAAGAAACAGTCAACAAAATGAAAATGTGACCTACAGAATGGAACAAAATATTTGAAAACCATATATCTGATAATAGAATGATATCCAAAATATATAAGGAACTCCCACAACTTAATAGCAAGAAACCAATAATGAATTCAAAATGGGCAAAGAACCTGAATAGGCATTTCTCCAAAGATGATACGCAAATGGACAATAGCGATATGAAGAGATGCTGGACATCACTAATCATCAGAGAAATGCAAATCAAAGCAACAATGAATTATTACTTCACACCCGTTAGTATGGCTATTATTGAAAAAACAAACGTTGGCAAGGATGTGGATAAAAGGGAATCCTTGTACATTGTTGATGAAAATGCAAACTGGTGAATCCAGTAACTATGAAAAAACAGTATAGAGATTCCTGACCATATGACCTAGTTGTTATGGTCTGAAAGTTTGTGCCCCCCCAAAATTCACTTGTTCAAATCCTGACTCTAAGATGACAGTATTAAAAGGTTAGGCCTTTGGGAGGTGATTATTTCATAAGAATGGAACCCTCATGAATGAAATTCATGCTCCTAAAAAAGAGGCCTGAGGGAGAGCCCCCAACACAACTTCTACCATGGGAACACAGCTGGAAGGTAAGGAGACAACTACACGGCAGTATCCACAAAACAGAAATTGGGCCTCTACCCAGATACTGAATCTGCCAGCACCAAGATCTTGGACTTCCTAAACTTCAGAGCTATGACACATAAATGAGTAAGTTAAGGGAGCTCATTCACCCCTTCAACCATGTGAAGACACAAGAAGAAAGCATCATCTATGAAGCAGGAAATAAGCCCCCACCAGAAACCAAACCTATCGGATCTTGGAATTTTCCAAGATTTTGGATTTTCTTGGATTTTCCAGCCTCTAGAATTGTGAGAAATAAATGTTTATTGTTTATAAGGCACTCTATTTATGGTATTTTATTATAGCAGCCCTAATAGACTAAGAGACCATAAATTTATACATGAGGAATCTAAAATAGTCGAACTCATAGAAGCAAGAAGTATGGTGATGACAGGGACTGAGAGAAGGAGGAAACAGGGAAGTGTTGGTTAAGAAATACAAAGTTTTA